GACAAGAACTTCTCAATACTTGGGATATGTGACGTCTCAAGACTTGAGACAAGAACTTCTCAAGACTTGGGACAAGTGACTTCTCAAGACTTGGGACAAGAACTTCGCAAGACTTGGGACGAGTGACTTCTCAAGACTTGGGACGAGTGACTTCTCAAGACTTGGGACAAGTAACTTATCAAGGCTTGGGACAAGTGACTTCTCAAGACTTGGGACAAGTAACTTATCAAGGCTTGGGACAAGTGACTTCTCAAGACTTGAGACCAGTGACTTCTCAAGGCTTGGGACAAGTGACTTCTCAAGACTTGAGACCAGTGACTTCTCAAGGCTTGGGACAAGTGACTTCTCAAGACTTGGGACGAGTGACTTCTATCTCTAACAGTCTGTGAAGGTCTCGGACTGTGCCTCACACTGTCTCTGCCTCACCCTCCTCGCCGGACTCGGTATGTGCTTCACTTGGTCTGTACCTCACTCTTTTTCAGCCGAACAATATCTTTGCAGAGACGGCACATAAGAGACAGGGTCATACAGAGTCCGGTGCCTGCAGAGACGTAGTCTGGCAGACCAGTTCGAAACTAAAGGAAATTGAAAAATTTGAAGTTAAAAATGTTTTCAATTATTTAGAGAATTTTTTGTTTTTGAGAGCGGGGTCCCTCCTGACCTGCCACCGCCTCCTCAGCCGATTCTTCATGCGTTATCTCATACTGAATACTAGTGGGCAGGGTTTGCCGCATGTCCACGCGGGGTCGAAGCTTGGGAGCAGACGCCGCTGTGGCCTCGAGTATTGCGCTGGTCAGCTCCTCGACGCACTTGTCGATTGCCTCCTTGTCGCTTCTCACGGGATTCCCCGGGAGTCTGCTTTCGAGGCAAGCCAGGAGTGCACCCCAGTCCATTCGCGCGAAGTCGGGGCGGTCATGTAGGTTCTGAAAGGATGACCGGCACGTGGTGTCGATGAGGACAGGCAGGTGATCCGAGCTGAGTGCGTAGCAGACAATCAGATGCACAGGTACGACGAAGTCCTTGACAACTGCAATATCATGGACGTCGGGGGTTCCGTTGTGTGTAAGAAGCCGTGGTTGGGGAGTCCGGCCCGTAGATCAAGCAGGAGTTTCTGTTGGCATAATCTCGCAGGAGCGAACCCCTCGCAGAGATCGGCCTAGAATTCCAGTCCCGGGGTTCAAGAGATTGGGCTTGACAGATACCTGGCATGTCAAAGGGTTGGCTTACAAGACACTGCTACTGACATACGTTTTGCAAGTCCATGATCCGGCTGGACAGGGACTCAGTTTCGAAGGACACGGTTTACCGAGCCTCCAGCTTACTAGGCACACTGGCCCTTTGGAACACTGGTGTGCCTGGACATAGGCCTGAAGGGACAAAAAATTTCAATATTAAAAATTACAAAAAATTAAATAATTTTTAAAATAATAAAAATCCTAATTAAAAAAATACTTTTGAATTTTTTTGTATAATTGTTTAATTATGAATTCTTTCAATTTGAAAATTATAGTTCCAGTAGGGTGGCTCCACGGCAGGCTGGTGGTCTCTGCGCTAATGTTCCACAAAGCCGTTGTACCTGCATATCATGAAAGGACATGCCAGGGGGGAGTCAAGCACTGGTGGATGTCACCATGGAGGCCCAGCAAGCCATTTTCGGTAAGCCTGCTCGGCAACCACGACTGGGAAGCCCAGTTGTCAACAAGCCATGGGGCTGGCATTCTTTGGCACAGGAATTTGGTGGCCCAGGAAGCCGACGATCAGGAAACCTGGAGGTGCAACAAGATGGGTGCCATGAAGATAGTGGAGAATTAAGCCAGGGGATTGTTTATGTTGGGTTAGATTAGGTTAGGTTGGATTAGGTTACATCAGTTTAGGTTTGCATAATTTAGTTTGGGGTAGGTGAGTTTGGCTATAGCTTGTTATTGTTGACTTGGGCTTATTATGGTAAGTAAAGTAAAGTAAAGCTGTCTCCCTATACACAGTGCGGCAACTGGAAAACGGGACTGATACAGATAGCTCCTACCCATTCTTAACCTCGGCAGTAGATGGGGGTGAGTAGTCAGCATCACACCCCAGCCACACTTAACCCCTGAGAAAGAACCCTGGTACCCACTGGATAGGAGGCTGGGTGGGCCCCAGAGCCGGTCCGGATGTAGAGCCTGTAGGATATTTCCTTATGTTAGGCTGACGATTCATCCAGATTGGTTAGCCTATGATGTTTGTTCTGGGGTTGGGTAAGATTTTACCTTGTTTTGTGAGTGAAGAACATCTTCTTGGTAAGTCACCTCTGTCTGATCAGGTGATTAAACTTCACTGTTGGGCACCAATGGAATCTAACTATTCCCACTTTTGCACGACAATGGGACCTTAGTTCAAACCAGTGCAAAAATAATCTATGGTCATTTGGGTAGATACTGTTGCAGAATAATGATTTTGGCTTGCATTACTGCAAAAACAGCCATCTCCACAATGGTCTAGTATACATTAGTGCAAGAATGTCCTTTTCTGCAAAAATAAACTAAGATCATTTTCGTGCAAGAGGACGCTGTGTGACGTGGCATGACAAATGCCTCTGGAATGTTGACCTACCCCAAAACAGTAAGTCCTTCCACTCTTGTCCATCTGGACTTCAGTTTGCTGCAGTGGTTCGACTGTTCTTGTGGTGGATACAGGGTTTTCATCTAGGCTGTACTAGTAATTCACGTGTTGGCACAGTCTTGAGTTTGTCATGGCTGTGAGTTCGTAGATGGCTGTGTTCTGGGTTGTAGCACCGTGTTGTTTGGTACAAGTTTACCGTTATTTCAGAGGTCCCTGTAGCCCCCATCAGGTTGATAAGCCTGCCATGAAGATTGAGATGGAAAGACCTCTGGAACATTTGTAAACAGCCACCAGACTACATGGTGCTACAACCCATAAGAAAGGTGGCATAGCTTAAAAAGAAATTAAATAATAATAAACACCACAATATTCAAAAAGTAATTGAACTTTGTTTTCTGAAGGACTTGTTGGAATAAAATAATCTGTAAGTGTAGATTAGAAAAACTGTTTTAATTACAGAACACAAAATCCATTTATATAAGCACGAATTCCAGTAAGAGCACATAAAAAGAAACTCTGATATTAACTTTCATATGCAACAGGTCGAAGTTTTTAAACAAAGAAATAATGAACACAGTATTATTAGTAAGAATAATAACATTACAACTATAAATATACATTTGGCTTTTATTTTCAGAGCTGCTAAAATCAAGCAGGAATACTTTGTTTATGAGAGGCTGGAAAACACTGAGACCAGTGAGAAACATAGACTTAAAGACAAGGACATGGTCATCACAATAAAAAAAAAACTTTTTTTAAAAAAATGGATTTATGAAACACAACCCTGTCAGAGTGGTTTACATTGTCCTGATAAACACAACTAAACAAACATTTTACACATCTGCTTCTGCATGTGCTACTGGTTTATCACTACTTTTATTTCCTGTTACATCCATCTGCTCCTCAATATTCACACCAATATATTTATTTCCCATTTCAGCCAACTGGTCCCCAACATTCACATGCCCAGGTTTTTTCTTTGGATCATCTACATCATCACTTACTTTAATTTGATTTGCTTCTTCTTCTAATTCTGAATCTACAATTTTACTTTTATCTCCTTCCCCATCTGGACATGTTTCTACATCCTCTTTGGCCACCATAACTTCCTCCCCAATCTCATCACTTTTCCCTCCTACTATTTTAGCCTGACCTTCACCTTCCCCTCCAACAACCCTTTCTCTCTTCTCACCTATTACCTTGATTCCACCCTCTGGAGCACACAGTTCAAGCAAGTTGTATTTGCGCAGCTCAAAATAATCTGGAAGAACTGAGAGACAGCACATGTTACGGATCACCTCCACAATAATGGCTAGCTGAGGGTGCTTCAAATCTGCTCGGTTTTCAGGGTGCCTCCTCAGAACCATCTCTGCCAAGTCACGAATCAGATCGTCACGATTGACACCGCTACTGTTTCGACGACTGTAACATATGATAAATCACAGTTACTAAAACATGTACTTCAAGTGTAAATGAGATTGAAGAATTAAATATAACATTTTTGTGTTGTGTGAAATACCACTACAACAGCTGAAAAATATGCAGCTTATCAACTACTGTATTTACATACCACACATGCCATTTCTCAAAGTTCGAGTTTCACAAAATATAAATTCAAATATGATATTCATCCTTGGTCCACTACATTTGCATAGTTATTTCACTGCAATAGACAAACACTCGCTTTTTCACTAAATATCACAATACCGTGTGGTAAATCAAATCATGATGGACAAAGCACATTTTGCTGCCAAAAACAAGACATTAAATATGATATACACCTGGGTCTTAATGAAGAAGTTTTAGAAGAACGTTGTACAAAAGAAAACTGTATGAAAACAACACTGTTATGAAGTTAGTAAACATTTTACCAATTTTTGCCTCCTAGAAGTAGTGAGCCATATCACAAGAGAAACACATAACCACCGTCAGACTTCTGAACAAATAAAGAATTCACTACGTCTGATGTACTTTGCAGCCATTTATACATTTAACTGTATACAATGTTCTTTCTCCTCTTACCACTTCCAACATCCAAGCTAGTTTTTCCTTTCCATTCCAGTATTAACTTTCGTTGTAATTTGAAAATGTGGCATCACCTATATTTTGTTATATTCTTTCTTATAATTTTCAGCTTCCATAACCTGACTACCTGAGTGACTTCAGACTCTGCTCCATGCATGAAGTTCGTTTCGAAACCTTATAATAATGACCACGAAAAAACTTTATGGATTTTAATTCTGCCTTCCTTCTTACACATGGGTTGGTTGTTTTAAAAGTGTGTCTGCATCTTCAGCTATGTGCACCTGTATAAAATTTGATCTAAAAAAAATTAAATCCGCCTAACCCGGTGACATTCATACTACAAAGAAGAAACCAGGTACAGCAGGTGCAGAAGTTCTTGGCCGGTGGAGGAGCTAGCGGATGGACCTACTCTGTGTACTTGAGGTGGCAAGGTCAGTGTATGTGTTTTGTTTGGCCATTCAGTCTGATAAGCTCCTCATCCTTCCTGGAGGCAGATGAAACATTATACTATCATACAAGTGACTCGCTCCTAGCCTTCCCCTTGAATATTCCACCGGCCAAAAACTACTGTGACCACTATAGTATAGGGATCTGTCATTCCCCTTTTATTAGCCCCCGGAGGAAAACTCCGTGATGCCTAGACCACGGCCTTGCCCAACACAAATTATAAATTCGGGCACCGCCGGGAATCGAACCCGAGACCCCAGGATTACAAGGCCAGCGTTCTATCCGCTAGACCACCCCTACTCAATCTTAATCTCTGCACTAGATAGGGGTGAGTGGTCAAATTCACATCCTGGCCACGCTTTACCCCTGGAAAAGGACCCTGGCACCCACTTGACATGAGGCTTGGTGGGCCCCGCTTTGGGGCCCGCCAACCTTGCAATAGAGGTCTATGTCAGGTGGGTGTGTCAAATCCAAAATTGTCAGAGCATTACTTCATCCTTCCTAATGAAGCTGAAGGACTGTCACACTTCATTCAATGGCTTCACTGCCTGCAATTTGTTAATCTCTGTGTGATTTCATTCATCTTGCCAGGAAGTGAAGAGAGTATGATAAAGACAGGCTGCCTTTTTTATGGCTGTATTAGTGGCCTGTATGACCATGCAACCAGCAAAATAGATTTTAGTTCTGAGAATTATAATTCATC